ATCGTTTGTTTCTTTCTGTGTGAAGCCATTGAATCATGCTGCATTTGCAGTTTCGCAACTCATGGTATCAAGCCTTTTTTTGGTCAAGGGTTCAGTGTTTGGGCAGTGACATTTAGCTTTTGCGGAAGATGCCCACGCCAGCTGTGTCAGAGATGCTCCGGTGGAATATTCCACCGTGTGTGATATTCACCATGCTCCTCTTGCAATTCAGTGGGAGTATTTCGCCAACGCCCATTGACTTCGCGGAGTTCTTTGCCGGCTGTGGAGCTTTGAGTTTTGGACTCAGACAAGCCTCTTGGCTGAATCATGTTGCTGGCTGCCTCAGTTTCATGGATCGTTTTTGAAGTTTTGTGGTTTGACTTGGTGAGGTCGAATATTGTGGAGTGTCTGTGGACATCACCTACGACCCACGCACCCAAGACCTAAGTTCAAGCGCAGGTTTTTTGCCACTTGGAGATGTCAAAGGTTGATACAACTTTTCTCTTGTAGAGCATTTTTTGTTAACAGTCAATGTGGAACAGCAGTCAGTGTCAGAGTCATAGTCAACCCTGTTCTGTGTCAGGCTGGCTCTCTCACAGATTTGCCGTGTAAAGATGGGAGGCTTGGTGGTGGCCGCTCTTCTGTGCAATTCATTTTGCCGGATGTGCCTCGGCATGTTCATGAAACATTTTGACAGGCTTGCCCAAGTGGTTTTTTGTTGGTAGCCGGCGCCCTGCAGGTCAAGATCTACTTCAGGTCGCACCCAATTTTTACCATTTGGCTGTGAAAACTATGACTTTGTCAAGCTTGGAAACTTACTTTCTTCCAGAACCGTGATTCTGCTATGGCTCTCTGCTCTTCTCCAGCTACGTTTCATTTTGGAGCAACCGCACGGCTCGATCCTGGAGGCGATGCCCCGTGTGCAGGAACTCTTTGCCAATGTGCCTGTAACTTGGTCTCATTAAGCGCTGTTCTGAAACAGCTCCACTCAGAAGTGAATATTAATTTGCTTTTTGTCTCGCCAGGTATTCAAGGGTGGATTGTGGATGGGCGCATTTGGGGGGGCCAACCCCCAAACGTCACATGATACTTTGCAACGATCGAACCATCATTGCGGCTTTGGAGAACAGAGGAGGGACTTTGCCAAAAAGTAAACGGCAACAACTTAGTGGCGGCCCCTTGGTCAAGAAGCATTGGGACAAGCAGGGTGTACTTCGTACCACTGGCATCAAGCCAAAGCTTAAAGAGTCACAGATGCTTTCCAGACATTGCCATATTTTTATGTTTTTTCTCACAGACGTGGCAGAACGAACTTCAACGGGGATAATTTTGTGGGTATTGAATTTTCCATTAATAATGTTGCGCTTTTTGAAGCCACAGGTGTTCTCCACTATACTGCCCTTTGTTGGAAAAGAGTCCTTTAACTATTTTGGGGAAGGATACAAAGAACCACGGTTTGGCTGGCACTGGTTCATCCACGTGTAAGGAGCTACACTCATGAGTTCGGGGCTTTTGTGGCTTCTATCATGGTGGCCCTGGAAGACCACCAACTTGAGCAGAGTCCGCGAGACCCTTCTCCAGTTGAACATGATTTGACGGAGTATGAACTCTTCAGAAAGCATTGCGTGGACCACAACTGGAACCTTGAGGGCGACATGTGGGTTGACGTCCCTGGGCTTTCTGTAGATTGAATGTTTGAGTAGCAGAGATGTTTTTGGTGACCGCTTTAGAAGCAATATGGGCTGTCAAGTTTGACAGGCCAAGATCTCTGATCTACTCAACTACCTCTTGTCGTCCAACACGGTTCGCAACAACCTTCCGGGACGTTGGGTGAATCTGCTCAAAGTGACTTTTCCAGGCGACTCGGCTGCATGGTCTGTTCAGCGTCGTTCCTATTTGTCACCGGCAAGCGCCAGTGCAGCTAGTGTGGCTCCCAGTTTTTAACAGGATGGACACTCGTAGATTTCACAGGGCGCGCAATGCTCCGGATGACATGGCACACCTGATCCGAGAGTTGCGAGCAGATATCGTTGCGATCATGGTCAAGATGTTGTGCTTGAGGGTGGGCTTGAATGACTTTGAAGCCCGCAGAAAGCGCTGCAAGCAAGACGAATTGGACCAGGTCATCCGAGCGTTCGAGAATGAGACCAAGAGGGCACCTAGTCTTTGCCCAGGTTTGGTTTTCCTTTTGTTTCCTAAAGTTTTTGGTCCACTTATGTGTTCTTCTTTTATATAGGGTCAAAGGCAGGGGCCTTGATACTATTTGGGCGCAGGGTCTTTGAACCTGGGGTCTGTGGAAATGAGGCAGTCCGCAGCATTCATGACTGTTTGGACCAGCTGTTTGAGAAAGCGGGCGAGGTCCTTATCGAGGAAGCAGAGCTTCAAATACAGCGTCCGGGTGAATCAGGTGAATCAGAAGTGGCATCGAATCCTGACGAGATAGACACAGAGATTGAAGGGGAAGAGCCTCCAGCACCACTGAAGAAGCGGCCTAGGCTGGTACAAGAGCAAGCTGACCCCATTGGGCCAGCTGGCGTTCAGTCGCCTTCACCTCCGGCGGATGCGCCAGGCCATGATGGCCATGTGGAGGATATCGAATGATATCGCAGGACTAGATTGAAACAGAGAGTGAAAAAGGCGAAGAAGTGTCATTTGATTGGGTGTGGTTTGATGCCGCAAGGGTTTTTTGAAGAGCTGTGATTATTTGCCTGCTTTCATTTGTGTCAAATTTGCGACGCTTTGTTGAAAGACTTCTCATGCCAGGTTTTGTTCTCCACTGGACTGAACATTTGCAGTTGAGGTGACCAACGGGTTGCATCAGAGCCTGCGCTACCACAAACAGATGATGAGTGGGAAATTCTCCTTGGTTCCTGTAACTTGTCTGGTTTTATATTGACAGTGCTTCTCTTGGCGATGTGAGATGCAAAGCGGTGATTTGTCAAGGTGTCCTTCTGATGCACATTTTGGGAAAACTCAATTGGCAAACATGTGCAAATAAGGAATGCTGAGTCGGTACATGGGGGAGTGCTGGCTTATAGCTTTCAATTGGGGCATACATCAAGCTACTGGGCTTGATCAGGATCAATTCGTGCTAGGTGCTTATTGAGCACTGGGCTGCAAATCAAGCATTTCATGAATTTCCAGTCGGAAAAAATTGCGTGAAAACGCGTGATTTGTTGAACATAAAACGCCATTTGTCAAGAATTTTCGCGTGAAATCCGTGAAAATTGGAAATCAACACACGGTGATGTTTTTTTCCAGCTGTGTGGGTTTGTGTAGCTCATTTGAAGCTCTGATCGCCTTGAAGTGTATCTCATCGACCCAATATGGTGCCTGACGTGAACGATATCATGGCCGAACATGGCCTGACACAAGAGGAAGCGGCGGAGGTCGTGCGCGCGCTCAAGAGCAAGGATCTGGATCCTTGGTTGGAAGTAGGGGTTGGCCACGGTTCGTTGCGACTTCTTTCTTGCGACCTGCGTCCTTTTGTTCAAGGAGACACCCAAACAGAAAGGGAAGTTGCGCCTGGCATCCACTTCACCAGAGAAGGACACCGTTTCATGGTTTCAACATGTCCGGTGCTTTGTTTATGGCGCAGGACTCAAAGGCAGTGAAGAAACGCCACTTGAAGTCAAAAGAGGACAAAGGCAAAGGTAAGAAGGAAACAAAAACCAAGAAGTCAACAAAAATGAACAAGGAGAAGCCCCCTAAGGAGCAACCAGCAGCAAAAGCAAAGGCAAAGGCAAAGGCAAAAGGTGCGCAAAAGAAAAAACGGACAAGCAGGCAAAGAGGGACTATGAGCAGGAAATGGTGAAGGAAGAGGAAGATGAAACGCAGGAATATGTAGAGGAGGAGGTTGAAGAAGAAGCGGAACCCATTCCTGAGAAGCCGGCGAAGAAACAGAAGAAGGTAAGGTGCGAGGTAACGGAGGAGGAAGGCACAGCTAAGCCCGGCAAAAGCAAGACAAGGAAAACAAAGCAAACGCCAGCAGAGCCGGCAGAGCCAGAGCAGAAGCCAACAGAGCCAGAACAGCAGCAAAGCCCTACACCAGCAGCAGAGCAGACTTCTCCTGGCGACTCGCAGGTTTCGCTAGCTTCTTTGGCGACTTTGCTGAAAGGTCAGGAGCAAATGGTGGCACAGTCGCTTGCCGCCATCATTGAGAAGAATTCCCAGGAATCGCAAACGGAAAGCGAGCTATATGCTTCGTTGCTTGCTGGGTACCTATGGTTGCTTTTGTCAGTTGTTGTTGTTGTTGTTGTTGTTGGCGGCCACTTTCTCCTTGATTTGGGCCCGGTTCCAACTCAGGCTTGGTGGCTCAGCCAGTGAAGTGTTTACTCAGAACATCGCTGCAGAGCTACTGCGTCTTATGCAAGGTCAGACGAGTCAGACAAGCGAAGCCAAGCCAACTACTCCGTCCACTCCTGCCGGTGGTGCAAGTCAGGATCAGACAAGGGAGTCCAAGACAGCTACTCCATCCACTGCTATGCTTGCTTTGCCTGATGCCTCAAGTCAGGCTAGTGGTGAGAAAAATGAGCCTGCTCCCACCCAACCTGAGGAAACAAAGGCTGTGGAACCTACAAGCCAAGAAGGTGAGGCTGCGGTTCAGGATCCTGAGAAGAAAGAAGTGCCAACCATTCCAGAGCAGCTGTCTGATAAGTCTGCGGCCAACGCCTCGGCTTTGGCTACAGTTGGTCTTCTGCCACCTCCTGCAGAAAATGCTTCACCTGAAGGCGACACAGTTCCGGGCACACCTGACGTCTTGACCAAGGAAGACCTCAAGACCATGGATGAAGGTGCTTTGCTTTTTTGAGTATGTGTTTGCTGGGTTGTTTGTTGAGCCTCTTTCAGTAGGTGCTAGATTTTTCGTTCACCATTGAAAACTTTTCCAGATGCCATCCTGGAGATGTACGCGGAGGGAAAAGTACCGATTTCTTTGATCAACAGCAGCAACTGCAGAAAGTTGCATATGAGAATGCGCAGGCACATGGAAGATCACTCGGATGAAGTCAAGGCCCCCCAACATGGCTGCTATGTTTCAGGGCACCTTGAAGGAAAGAAGGGAGCTCTTGCACCAGTGGCTACAGAGCGGAGAAGTTCCAGAAAAGTGTGAAATGATGCTGACCATGCAGAGATCCACGGAAGAGGACTATGACGCCGAAGAGCAGTTGTTGACGGTGGAAGGCATGAAACGTGCTGGTATCTCAGAGAAGCTCGCAAGCATTTTAGCATGACAGGGCACGTTTTCAATCTATAATTTGGGCTATTTTCATATTGCTCTGTTCAGCCGCTCTAATGAGGCGGAAAATCGCAGCTGTGGTGGCAACCCAAAATCCCATCTTGGACAAGGACCACCCAGAGATCCTTGAGGAGGCAAGGTACTGGGTCCATGTGCACATCAAGCGGAACCACCGAGAGAAGAGTTCGGTCAGTGTGGTGGCCAAGAACAGACTTCGAGCAGACTCGGGTGGAATGGAAGCGGTGCTGCCCGGCTTGACTAACAGGCACATAGCTACCGCTACCCGGCCATTAGACATGTCAGCAGCCCTCGCACAGCTGCAGCAGAAACCCGCGCAGAACAGTTTCTTGGATGTATGTGTGGCAGGGTTCCCTGGTATTTTTTTGTGTGGTTGCTTGATGCCAACCTCAGGTGAGCCTGAGCAGCCCAAGGGGGGGGAAGCCCAGGAGGCCGAAGAAGGCTGCAACCAAGCCCAAGAAGGACACCAAGCCTCTAGAGCCCAAGACATGGGAAGAGATTTGCAGTGATGCATGCGCCTGTGCTGCATTAAAGTGGCTACTCATTATTTTGGATCTTCCGCTTTCACCTTCATGGCCGAGGTGTGGATTTGAGGAAGGAATATTTGGGGACAGCTTGCGCAATGGACTTGCCCAAAGGCCATGAGTTGAGAAAGCAGCTCAACTCCATGAAGGTGCAGCTTGGAAACCTCATGGATGAGACCAAAGATCTCGACCTTGATGTCCTGACACAAAGTCAGTTCGATCGCACGATGGAGGAGTGCAAGAAGAAGGCCTGAATTGAGTCTTTATGTACGTATGTTTTAACTCTTCATACATCCCTCAAGTTGCTCAGATCAATGAGTCCAAGATGTTGCGGGTACAAGTCAAGGCGGTCGCCCGTGAAATCGCACCTTGGCAAACCTCATGTGTATGTTGCTTCCTTCGTACGTTTGGGCTGTGCTCTTTGGGCCCTAAGGCAAAGGACAAGTGAGCATTTTCATGTGGGTATGCAATGCAGATTTCTGCATGCCTGGGGTTTGCAGCCATCCACGGGAAAACCTGTGGATGCATGGAGTCAGAACCAGATGTGAGCCAGCGAAGACTGTGGAAAAATTGCCAAATCATTTCATTGTACGAGATCGCACCCTGTCAAATTCAACATATGATTGATAGATGCTACCTTCTTCTTTCTGGAGGCTTCGATGCAAATGCCCGGAGATGTTTGGACAGAGAGTTTCTTGATGCTATATAGTTGATTGTTTGCAAGCCAGCATTTTGGAACGAATGAACTTGATGTCTGTTCGAGGCTTGCTCGTGCAATTGGGGCAGGCGATGTCTCCCAGGTCTTGGCAGACCGCGTGGGCCGGATTTATAGCAGCAATGTGTTTGGCGCTTCATCGACCAAAACTCCAGAGTTCCGTGTCCACCGCAAAGCTGCAAACGCAGATTTGGCGCTCAAAGTTGAGATATCGATGCTGGATATTCCAGTTGCTGGAGAAGATGGAGAGATGGAAATCATTCCATGGCCTATTTTGCTTCCACATAACCTTGCTATCGCTTTGGTGCGTGAAGGGCACTATGACAAAATTTTTGGCACAAAGACTGACAGGATTGAGTTCTGGGGGGCATATGATGAAAGATCTTTCGCCCAGCGAAAGGTCCGCAGTCGATCCAGAGCATGATGCACCATTCGCCCTCTATGGAGATGAGTCCACCATTTTCAGGGCCTCCTGCATGAAGTTGCATTTCCACCCGCAGCTCAACAAGTGCAGCAGTGACTCCCTTCTCTCACGCTTTTTGATTTGCATCATCCCTTCAGATCGGTACTGGATAGCGTTTTGGTTTTATTAGCTGAATTTTTTCTTTTGATGGGTGGGTTGGTGGTGTATTGTGGGGCTCGGCCCTTGTCCAATCAGGCGGGCAAAACAAATCACACACTCCAAGCTGTGATTCGCTATGCCGTGGATTCTTTGAACCAACTTGCAGATGATGGCATCCCAATTTCTTCCACTGGTACCTATGACCCAGAAGGCCGTGATCCGAAAGACACTCGGGCCACCTTTGTGGTTTTGGTGTTGAAGTCTTCTTTTTGGGGTTGTTGATGCGGCCCAGTAAGGGATGGACTGGGCGACTTATCTTCAGCACACTGCGTGGAGACTGGAAATTCTTGAAGCAATGCATGAACCTGACGAGACATCCACAAACGCATGAGGCACTCTGCTGGCATCAACTGTTGCTCTGATTTTTTGGGGTGTAACGGTGTGCCTGTCAAGTCTTGATGTCAGGTATGTTTTTGCTGCCTTGCAAGCAAGCAGGGTGAGTACAACCTCACAGATTTATCGGCTGCAGCGCCATGGAGATCAACGATTTGGACAAGTCCTTTGCCATGGACCGTAGAGCCGGCAGTTGCTGGTCTATATTTTTTTTCAGGTGACCCGGATTGGCTATGATGCCTTACACATTTGGCATTTGGGTTGCTGCAGGGACTTGATGTTTGGCAGCACTAGTTCTGTGTTCAACATTGTTTTTCACCGTTTTGATTGCTCATTGCATGTGGTCGCGCGTTTAGGATCGGAGGGGTTATGCACAAGCTGATACGTGGTGGATGGTTTGGCAGGCAGAAGTTAGAGAGGCGTCTTTGGCAAGCGAGCCACCGCTTGAGAGAGTTTTGCCAAAGGTTTGGGAAGAGAACAGCCCTACGTAAGTTTACGCAAGACAACCTCAACCTCAAGAGTGGTAAACACCCTGTCCTGCAGATGCGTTTCTCAAGTTTTCCTTGTTTTTTCCTTTGTAACGTCTTTCCCTCCTTGGTTTTACCTAGTCGGCGGGTGACTGCCAAGGAGCTGCACGCCAAGGGCTACGACAGCTACATAATCTTAGAGTGGCTGAGTAGTGAATTGGAACAGTGCGCAGATGATTCCTTTACACTGATGGCTACGATGGTTTGGTGCGCGCAAAGCTTTGCCAGACTGTTGAACGCAGGGCCTGCTTTTTTCTGTGATGAGATGGCTGCCCAAGTTCGGATATTGGGCGAATCTTTCTGCAAACTGTATGTCCAGCATGTTCATTTGGAACCAAAGGTCTGGAAAATCAGACCAAAGTTCCATTTGGTCGTTCATTTGGCTTTGGATGCCCAATTGCGGAAATCGCGCAGGAATCCAGCCCAGGATTCAACCTGGGGCGACGAGGACTGGATTAAGAAGATTGCAAGGATGGTGAGAAAGACTCATCGGAAGACCACCGCAAAGCGGGGTCTGCAAAGATACCTGCTTCTTTTGAAGCAGAAATTTGTTGAACAGAAGAAACGCTGAAAAGGATTTCATTTGAGTGCACGCGTGTGTGTGTTGTTTTTTTCCCTTTTCTGGGGGGTATGTTTGGTTTGTGTGTGTTGTTGTGTTGTTGCCTTTGGGTAGGGGCTGGCTCCGAAAGGTTTGGATAACAGAATTCCATTGGTGTTTGCATGCAAACGCATGCTAATTCTGATGCTTTCAGATGGTTGGAAGGCAGAATTCCATTGGTGTTTGCATGCAAACGCATGCTGATTCTGATGCTTTCAGATGGTTGGAAAGCAGAATTCCATTGGTGTTT